TCAAGGAGCGCCTGAACTACGTAGAGAGACCAGTGGTTGTTTTGGAAAGGAAGGAGAAGATCCTACGTAACAAAGAGATACCTTTGGTAATGGTACAGTGGCGGCATTGGAGGGGATCTGATTGGACTTGGGAGCCGGAGACCAAGATGTGGCAGCATTATCCGGAGTTGTTCACCGCAGCAGACTTCGAGGACAAATTCTAGTTCAAGTGGGGGAGAATTGTAACATCCCTAACCCTAGGAATAAAATTTTAAGGATTTTGTACATCACATAAGACCTACTCGATGAGTTGGAGGCCCTAAATTGTCATGTAGAAACTAATAAGGAAGCATGGATTATGGAACCTACTCGACGACTTAGAGGATCCCAACCTGACGAGTTGAGGCTCTACATGAAACCCTAATTTTTAGGGTTTTCACCCTATTTAAAGGACCTTAAGTCCCCTCACCAACCTACCTTACCACCTTATCATGCAGAGAACCCCTATTTTGTGCATCATATTTCATTGTGTGTGTGAGAGCTTGGAAGGTGACTTTTGGTGCTCTTTTGAGGGAAGCTCAAAGATTGAAGAGATTGGAGTGAGGAGGACGTGATATATCTGACATCTACTCTGTTTTAGCAACCATCTTGAGGTTAAAGTTGATACCTTGACCTCTTGTTGCTAATATCTCCTCTTATGAAAGTATATGGGCCTTTTGGAGAAAAAATGGAGTAATTCTTGGATTTGATCTTGTCAAGAGGATGTCGTTTCAGATCCGGACACCTCTAGGCCTCCATGGACATAAAGTTTCCCACTTTATCTAGTCTTGGCCCTTGTCCATGCCCTAAACTTGTTATTAAGCTTAGTTGTAGTGTTTTAATCCCTTTGATTCCTTGCATGCACGTAATGTTAGCAACTTTACGTGGTGTCTCAATCCTAAGAGGCTATATCTGTAGTTTGGGGCCTTAAGTTCATATAGAAGGGGGTGAGTACCTTAAGATAGGAAAACTCGACTAGTTGCTTACCCAACTCGACGAGTTGATAGAGTTTCCCGCTTTCTAGATGCTGAGTGGACTCGGTGAGTTGATGAGATGACTCAACGAGTTAGTTAGGGTTTTTACTGATTTTATGAGTTCTGAAGGAACTCAACGAGTTACTAGCTGTACTCGACGATTTGGGTCAACTTGGACTGTTGACCTTGACTATTGACTTCGACTTTGACCATGATTGACCAAGTTTGACTTTTGAAGGTATATTGGTAATTTTGGATTTTAATGGAATTGGTCATATGGTGGTTACATGCAGTTGATTTTGGAGCTTCAAGTTGGGATTCGATTTTATCAGTTCAGAACTACTTGTGTGGTGAGTTTTCCTTACTATGCCAATAGGGTCGAAGGCACCAAGGCCGACCCTTTTTGGATTGTTATCCTGTTTATCGCATGATGATATTCTTAGAGATCTATTGATCTGTATCCTGGTATATAGGATGATGCTATTTTTAATGACCTGTTAGGTCATTATCCTGATATATAGGATGATGCTACGATAAGTGATCTGTTAGATCTGCCTGACTGTATATAATTTTTAGCTAGCATATGATATTATGTGTTAATTATGTGATTGCGGGTGGGTTGAGGCGGTCCTGCTTTGTGCTCTAGGCCAACAGACCCATGGAGGCCTGGATGGACTAAAGACCCATGGGGGCGTATCAGTCAGGCTGAAGGCCTGGAGAATGGTCCAGATAGGTTGAAGGCCCAGTAGGGCGCACCAGACATGCTGAAGGTTCTGAGAGTAGGCTAGATAGAATAAAGGCCCGGCGAGGGCGGTCCATTCACACTAAAGATTCTATATGCATGTTGTTTGTTATGAAATTGTTCTAGTTTGTATGGCATTGGTATTTTGGGGGAACTCACTAAGCTTTGGCCTTACAATTTTGAATTTTGTTGCAGGTACTTCAGATGATCACGAGAAGGCAAAGACTTGATCGTGCACCTCTTCACATTTTATGATTTTGATTTTTGGGATACTCTGATATGAAACTATTTTGAAAGCATTTTGTAATAAGTAATGATTTTTGGATGCTTGAAAAAGTTTTCAATTTTTATGAATTTTATGGATGTTACACTTTGAGTCATATCCAGAATCACCAAGATTCCTTTACTCAACCTTTTCCTCCTATTTATGACATGAATTATATCTAACTTCCTTCATCTTTTCTGAACTGGAGTTCTGAGCCTTTAAACTTCCACCTCCATTATTGCCTCTATTGAACTAGGATAATTTTTTCTTGAAAAACTTCTTAGGGTTGCTGACCGTTAGAGATTTGATTTCACTTGTGAACTCCTCATTAGTACTTCCAGAATCCGAATAATCTTCAATCACCTTGGATGTCTTATTCTTTGAGGCTTCTGCTTTCCCAACAAATGCTAAGGGACTAGCATTTGAAATAGTTCTTGCATCTTTGAGAACCTATTTCTCATTTGATTTCAGAATTCCTACCATCTTAGCAAGAGAATATTCCTTAAACTATTCATGAGCCTTGATGGTTGATGCAATAAATTTCCATTCGGTTCTCAGAAAAGTTACTTTTTGCTCAATCGTTTTCATGCTCAAATCATGCTTAAGAATTCTACTTAACAAATGGTTGAAACGATTAACAGCCTGATCAATAGTCTCATTAGGTTTCTGCAAAAAAGAAGCAAATTTAGATAAAAGAGTAGTTTGTAAAGAATGAGTCAAGCCAACATCACTAGAGTACAACTCTTTTAACCTATCCCATATTTGCTTAGCTGTTGGAAGTGAACTTACCAATCGAAAGGTGTTTGGAGGAAGTGCGAACCTAAGGATTTTGGTTGCTTTTCATCTAATTCAGTGTATTTATTGTCAGCAAAGATGCCATCCAAATGTTCTTGAGACTCCATAACCTCCTTAGTCTTCGAGTATTTGTTTGTTCCTTTAGTGACAGCATGCTAAATGCTTGAACCATGAGTTTCATTGCCAACAACATAATCTTCATAGTGTGATGCCAAAACTTTATAATCCTCCAAAAAAAAGGGTTAGAATCCAATTTGTAGGACCAGTACTTCCCTGAAGATTGAAGGAAATAGAGTGAGAATCCCTTTTTTCCATTTTAGGAAAAATTTTGAACGAGAACAAAAATAGAATCAAATCTATGAGTTTAATATGGATTTCCAAATCGAAAAGAAGATTTAAACAAAGAAATTACGATCAATTTTACAAGAACACTTGCAAAAATGAAGAAATGTTCAAAAATTCAAAGTAGAATATGAAAAATACAAAGAACTTCAAAAAAATTTTGACTCGGAAAAATTGCTCAAAATTACCCGCTCTGATAGCACTTGTAATAATTTTAAGAACGTAATAGATTCTCATTTGTTAACGGATGCATTATGAAAATAATGAATGATTATGAACAAAAAGAGGTAAATAAGATCATTATTTCATTCGAGAGAACTAGAGAACAATTCGGTACAATGAGGGAACTATTTTCACAAAAAGTTAGTCTCTCTTATAATAGACATCTATATATATATATATATATATATATATATATATATTATATATATATATATATATATATATATATATGTATGTATGTATGTATATGTATATATATGTATGTATATGTATATATAGGCATAAAGGTAATTCGGAAACGAATAACTAAGCCAATAGTTCAGAACTGTGAATCTACTATAAATAAGTGATACACAATATAGACTCGCCTATGAAATGAACACTTCAATACAGTTACAGACCGGACCTATGAAGCCAGTTCGCACACAAATCTTGACACAATAAAATAATGTGAAAGCTAACAATGTTTCTGCTTACCCGCTGTTTATTAATATTTTGCTGGATTATCATAAAAGATCCCATTTTGACTGTAACAACATATGTATTATCATTTTAAAACTACATTGAAAATATAATATCTTCCGCTATTTATTCTCAATGAGATTGATTTATATAACACCGGAAGGAATAATTTTTATTAATGATATCCTATTATGAGCTTTTATTTGGTATAAAAAACATATCTTTTTATCCAATTGGAATC